TATATATATATATATATATCTTTTTCATCTTCTATTTTCAACCACACAATTTTTCATAAAATATTACACATAAATTAAAAAAATTTCCTTTTTTTTTAATCACTCATTTTTCCAAAAAATACTATTCCACTCATTTTCAACTCTACAAAATAAAGGTCAAACAGGGGTTATTTTCCCGCCTCGAAGCTTCAATCACACAATCTGTTATAAAATAATATTACATACAAATCGAATTTTTTCCCTCTTTTTCAACTATTCATTTAATATATATATATATTTGGAAAAATGGGGGCCAAACGGGTTTGTATTGTTTTTAAGTTGTTGTTGTGACTTGACAAAGTGTAAAATTACACCAAACATGACTATAAACTCTATCTGTAAATTTTTAACGACTATAATACTATAATCAAGATTTTCAACCATCGTGTTATTCACAATCTCAGAAATAATATATACAATGTATATTTACATACCAGAATCCATGTGCTAAATAAAAAGTTGTAGAAAAAATTATTTCTCTCAATTTCACCCTCCTTCCGGTGACTTTTCGATGACTAGAATTATGGATATACGGTCAAGATATATAGCCTTTGTTTGAGCCCCATTTTGATGGGAAAAATGAATTTTTGAATAGTGTATTGATGTGAAATGTGTAATTAAAAAATAAGGAAAATTTTTGGATTTGAGTGTAATATTATTTTACTGAAAATGTGTGGTTGAAATTATATCAAAATACTGTTGAAAAATTCATTTTCTCCCAAAATGGGGATCAAACAAGGACATAGAGCAGAGAGAGGACAGTTTTCCAGAAAATCACTCCACATAAACTTGGTTAATAGGAAAATAACATCTCCTAAAATATCTCATTAAAATGGATGTGCTTATCTTTTGAAAGCCAATATCTACCTTATTATTTAAGATCAAATATTTTCGGTCATGGGATCAATCCTTTCGCTAGCTAGTTAAGTTATCGACATTTACCCCTCTAATTCTGATGGAACTAGGTACACTGTAAATCTAGGAACGATAATTATTGTTATTTTTAAGATATATATATATATATATATATATAAAAGTATGTCTTAACTCCAAGTTAAAGTTTAAACTGTTTTTAAAATAAGCCCTGAGTGACCCTTCAAAGCGTAAAGGCCTAGTGGAAAGGCTAGTGAAACGCATAGAAAGGTAAAAAGGATCACTGTTTTAAGAATTTTTGTTAAGGGAGTGCCAGTGGTGTCCTTGCAAGAATGGAGTTAGGCCCAAGTTCATATATCTCAGATGGCATACTTTAATTTTTTCAAAAAAAAAAAAAAAAAAAGGATATTATCTTATCAAAAGATATTTCAATTAAGAAGAGTACTGAGTAGGATTTTTATAATTTGATTTATAACCGCCATATAACCTTCTTATAATCCTTGAAATACTAACCTTTTTCAGGACCCCCCTCTCTTTGGTATCAGAGCATTTGTTCCTGTGCCGGTGATTTCAGTATACTTCTTCAGATTTTAGAAAAGATGCAAAGACCAAGAGGTCCTAGGCCAGGATTGCCAACAATTGGCAGTTCAAGTTCATCATTATCTCAGATTAATTTAGCACAGACTCATGACAAGTTAAGATTTGATAATGTAGAATTACTCTACTTTCCAAATAGTAATATTAACTTTAAGATATTATCTCATATTTCAGTTACAAAATCAGAAAAATGTATTTTAGATAATTTATGGATTTCCTATAATAAGAATCCTAAAGATCAAAAATACTTTTTAGCATGTTTAAATGCTCTTTCAGAACATTTTAGTTAAGATCATAAGAAATTTAAATGTTATGTTGTTTTTCAAGGCAGACTTTCAGGAGTTTATCATACTTGGATAGAAGTATCAAATTGTATAAAAAAATTTCCAAACCCTTTATATAAAGGTTTTTATTCAATTTCAGAAGCATTAGACGAATGCAGAAAGCATTTAGGAATTAATTATTTTATAGCCCCTTCATTAAAAAATGTTTCAGATCAGCGATTAGATTTTTCTTCAAGTTTTTGTCAACATTGTGAATGCATGACTAGAAATTTTAAAATTTTAAATGAATCAAATCAGATTTTACAACAAAAAAAATTATCTTTACAAAAGAAGATTTCTGATTTAGAACAAGAAATTATTAAAATAAAAATTTTAAATTCAGATTTTCAAACAGTTTCAGGCACTATAGAGCCCAAGAAATCTATAGCTAGTTCAGCTCAAACGGTAGCTGGTAAAGACTTAACAAATCCGTTTATGGTTCTGGACTTACCAAAAGCCCAACAGACTCAGGAGGCTGTTGATTCTCCTACTTTTCAATTCAATCAGACTCAACAGGCTGAAAATCCTGTTACAGAAAATAAAATTATTGAAGAACAGACTCAGCAGACTGTAAATTCTGCTACTAGATTAATTACTCCAATAGATTTAAAACAGAAAAGCCCAGTTAATCTTATATCAGAATCATTTCAATCATCACAAGATCCAGAGCAAATTACTCAATCAGATATAAAAAGATTGAAAGAAATGTTTGAAAAAATAGAAGAATTACAGCAACAAGTTAAACAAAAGACCTTAAAGAAAAAGAAGTTGCAGATAAAGAAGAAAAATAAAGGCAAAAAGAAAATTGATATTAAATAAGATTATGAGGATAATACAGAAGAGGACAATAATTCAGAATGCTATACTGATGGAGGAGCATCTTTAGACAGCATTGGCCGACACAATTATGAGACAAGATAAGGAGTCAAGAAAGATCTGATCATACAAAGAAAGACTTAGCTGGAAAAGAGACACTTGGCAAACTTTCAAAAAAGATCAGAAATTATTGTATGATAGACAGACTTTTTACTGTTTTCTTTTTGAAAAATTTGTAACGAATCTTACTGTTCAATAAAGTAAGATTTGATAATAAAACTTTTTACTGTTTTCTTTTTGACGTTTTTGAAAAAGCAAAAATTCCTTGCTTTTGAAAAACGCGTTTTCTTCCTTTTTATCTCCTATATAAGGAGTCATTCTTTCATTTGTAAAGACACGGAATAGAGAAAAATAATAAAAGTTCTTTGTTCCTTTGAAACATGTTCTAATTTTCTCTCTTCCCCGAAAGGGAAATTCTTAATTGTTTTTATTCTTAGATATGATAATATCCTACAAAAAATATTTATGTTTTTAAACTACTGATGGATCATTCCAGTAGGTATGTTTTATTGTTCTAAGATATGGTACTAATAATCAATATTAGTCCCAGATTTTTAAAGAACAAATGTCATTTATGAGATTTTTGTTTCTGTAAATCCTTTGTAAAGTTTTATGTTTCATGCTGAGTATATGATAAAAGCATATCTTAACTCCAAGTTAAAGTTTAAACTGTTTTTAAAATAAGCCCTGAGTGACCCTTCAAAGCGTAAAGACCTAGTGGAAAGGCTAGTGAAACGCATAGAAAGGGGAAAATGATCACTGTTTTAAGAATTTTTGTTAAGGGAGTGCCAGTGGTGTCCTTGCAAGAATGGAGTTAGGCCCAAGTTCATATATCTCAGATGGCATACTTTAATTTTTTCAAAGAAAAATTTAAAAAAAAAGGATATTATCTTATCAAAAGATATTTCAATTAAGAAGAGTATTGAGTAGGATTTTTATAATTTGATTTATAACCGCCTTATAACCTTCTTATAATCCTTGAAATACTAACATTTTTCAGGACCCCCCTCTCTTTGATATCAGAGCATTTGTTCCTGTGCCGGTGATTTCAGTATACTTCTTCAAATTTTAGAAAAGGTATAATTCTTAGAATCTTTAGAAAACTTTTACTTGTTTTATGATTTTTAGAATTTTACTTGTAGATTTAGAAAAAATATTCTATAGTTTTACATTTTATAAAGAAATAGAAGAGATTTTTGAATACGGTATAGAATTTATTTCTTTTGAAAAATATAAATCTATAGAATATTTATTTGCTATATTACAAGTAACTAAAAATTTACATCCAGAATTAAAAGAACGGATATTTTATAGATCTTTAATTTCAGAATTTAGAGAAGAATATTTTATAAATAGTTTTGATCAGATATTTATATCAGATTTAGAAGTAAGGATTGAATTAGATAATATAGATAATAATTATTTATCAGATCATACAAATTTTTCATTAGATTCTTTTTATTATTCAAATTAGAGTTTTAAACTGGATCTTTTAATAAAAGAGGTTAATAAATTAATTGGAGAAGTAAGTGCTTTAGGAAAAAGAATCTTTAATATTGAGAAAGATATTAATAAAATTCGTGAAAACTTAGATTTTATTAAAGAACAAAATCTAACTATTTTAAATAAAATTTCTTGAGTAGAAGATAAAGAAAAATTTCCAAATCTTAAGACTACAGAAGCAATAGAAAATATAAATAAAAAATTAAATAATATAGAAAATAAACCAACTAAAGAAATAGAAAACATAATAAATAAGTTAGATAGATTAAGTTTAAAAAATACAGGTAAAGAAAAAATAACTAGAAAATTATCTAAAATATTTTATAAAATATGAATAATTTTCCTGTCAAATCAAGAACTATTAGAGAAGTAGGACCATCTTCAGAACCCTATGATAGAGGTAGACATAGTACTTCTAATATAAG